AGGTGGACCTTTTGAAAGTGCTTGGGTTATAGGGTTTTTAAGTTTCTTATGTTATTGTCAAGGCAAGAACTTAAAATGTTGTCCCAAACAGAGCCCCATTACATCTTGATCTGATCTGCTATATCCATTAAATAAAGGAAAAAGCTGTCTTATTAAAGGTTATGCATTTATATAAATATTGTAAAACATTCATAAAGGTCACTTATTACAAGATAAAGTACAACTGTGCTGTAATGAGAAATAGCCAATTGCAAAATTCTGTTTGAATTTTGAGGCAATGGAAATAGGCTTCTATAGGTTTTGTTGCTATGTTAAAATGTTATTATTACAAAAGCTACACATCAAGTAACTATAATTATTCAAACTAAGTTGAACATACCTTATCTTCTCTTTGAGACACTTTTCAATATTTTTCTTCACTCGCAAGAAAACATGCAAAACTATCCCTAAAATGACGATGTTTACCTAGAAATATGAATTACAATTTGTTAGAAAAAAATATCTTGTAGTAAACTGTAATAAATTTCAGCCACATAAATGTATAGCAAATTACTGTTTTTACAAAATACTCACCAAAATAATAAGTATTGCTGGTCCTACAAAAGCAAATATAACCCCATCTTCCACATTTAGCCAGCAGCTGGATAAAATAAAACAAATACTATGTAGCCTCTTACAAGACGTAAAAAATTTAAAATCTTGGAATTAGCCATCAAAGAAATACTTAAAGCATGAAGTATGAGTATAATGTTGATCTTTTCTAAATATTAGGATAAAAAATAGAAAAGTAACCATCATACCTGAAAAATTAATTTCTTAACTTCATAACCAAAATGCTGGATACTTATCTCAGTTTAAAAATTTTAATAATGCATTGTTAATGGCTTAACAACTTTGATCACATATTTCTTGTTAACAGCTTAAAAACTTTGATCACATATTTCTTGTTAACGGTTGAAAAACTTTGATCACATATTTCTTGTTAACGGTTGAAAAACTTTGATCACATATTTCTTGTTAACAGTTTAAAAACTTTGATCACATATTTCTTGTTAACAGTTTAAAAACTTTATCACATATTTCTTGTTAACAGTTTAAAAACTTTGATCACATATTTCTTGTTAAAATTACAGAATGTAAAATAGATTCAATTATATTACTGCTGCTTTTTATAATCTTAAACCTAGAAGACAGAAAATTCACTTAGAATTTCAATGCCATTGATTTTGTATTTTTCTTAATTTCATTCTTAACTAACAAAAATCGAATTCTGTACCTTGTGCTGCTTACATAGTTGTCGTATTTTATTCCACCCGTTATGGCGACTACAATTAGTGGTAAAACAAATCCAATAATAGTGAATGGTGGAAACTCCACATGGGAGGTAGGGTACGATATCAAAATAAATAGATTCAGTCCCTCACATAACATCCAGGTGAACACAGATAAGAAGAGATAGTGCATGACGAATGCTATCACTTTACATATAACCTAGATCAACAGCCATAAAACATGCTTATTTCTCATTTTATCACAAAGAACTATAGTCTAACTATAACCTGGAAATTAAATAGTTTTACTACATATACTAGCCAAAGATTTAAAGTCCACACTTATATACAAATTTGGGAGAATAATAAGAGTTTCCTTTATTTAATAAATTAAACAGCACACTAAGTAGTTTAGGTTTCTAATTCAGTTTTCAAACAATAGCAAAAAGTAGAAACTACATTATTTACATTGTTATAACTTCGTGCAAAAAATCACACCTACAATATATATATATATATATATGTATAGTTATACTAGTAGTACCATAACTTCAACTTTCTATATGTTAATTCATAATAATTTATGTTAAGGAGTATATAAAGATGTTCATTAACAAGCACAAAGCAAAGAACTTTCCCAAATTAATGACGTTTATGTCTTCCCTAAACTAAAAGATTGAGGTTAAGTGATTAAGTAAAAAGACATTTCATCATAAGATATTAGAAAAATATAAACTCAGTCTCCCAAATGATTGTTTGTTTGTTTATTTGTAATTAAGCACAAAGCTACACAATGAGCTATCTGTGCTCTGCCCACCACGCGTATCGAAACCCGGATTCCAGCGTTGTAAGTCTGCAAACATACTGCTGTGCCACTGGGAAGCCTCTCAAATGAAACAGCTTTCGAAAAATTATAAGAAAGGAGTGTTAACTTTGTCAGCTTGCAACATTCCCTGTGGGAAAATATCTTGATTTTTAGTATGGGGTTAATTGGTATTTGAACCTGTCAATTTTAGTAATAAAAATGAATTATTCAAGTACTTATAGAATTCATTCAAAAAATACTACAATAAGGGGCTTATCCTGGTATTAAATCACTAGACACAAACTTCGATGAAACAGAGATACAATTAAAAATATAGGTGCTGTGTTCAATCTCTAGTCACAAACATAAAGGAATCACAGAATCAGTTAATTAAGTCACTAGACAAGAACATGATGAAATTGCAGGAATAGATATGAACATGGTAGAGTAAAAGAAACAATTATGGATATAAAAGACAAGATTACAAAGTTTTTCTATTTCATATTACACAAAATATTTATTAATGTTCTCTACTTTTTAACAATAATGTTACGACAGCGGAAGTCACGTGACCCTGGTAACACGTAATGAGTATCTAGAACCTTCCTGAAGGCTCGAGTGTTTGCTAGATACGTGCTCTTATAGTATATAAGCTGGCAAATAAAGTGACGAGATAGATAATTGCAGACAGACAGAGACAGACAATTGAATCAAGCATGGTAGTGACCATAAGTAAAGTGCGTGAATGGTTGTGAATTATAGCGTGTGTTCAAGTTAAAGTGACTGTGGAAATTAAGTGTATTGCAAAGCTGTATTGAGAAAGAATAAAGTAGTTGTATTTAAGAAAGGACTTGTATCGCTTAAGTTTCTGGGAAAGAATTTCTACGGAAAACTAATAAACAAACAGAGATGTAACAAATTGGTGTCAGAGAGTGAGACAGAAAAGAAAAGAAAAAGAAGACGATTGAAACGAGAGGTGGCAAATCAAACTACAGCTTAGCAGATTTGATGGCTGCAATACAAGAACAGCAAAAGAAACAAGAAGAACGAGAAGATAAACAAGAAGAGAGACAACAGCAGTTGCAAGAAAACCTGCAACAGTGGCAGCTTGAACAGCAAAATAAACAAGAAGAGAGATTACAGCAGTTGTTGGAGGAAAAAGAAAAGAAACAAGAAGAGAGATTACAGCAGTGGCAAGAAAACCGGCAACAGTGGCAGCTCAAACAGCAAAATAAACAAGAAGAGAAATTACAACAGTTGTTGGAGGAGAAAGAAAATAGACAAGAAGACAGACTAAAGCAGTGGTTGGAGGAGAAAGAAAATAAACAAGAAGAATGTCTCCAACAATTGAGAGAAAGCCAGAGTACACAAATGGAAAACATTAGTAAATTTAAAAGCAAATTAAATACATTAAAGAATGATTTACTGTCTTTTACACAAGGAGGATATATTAGCCATCGACCTAATCAGCCTCAGACAATGGGAAGCCCCATACAGACCCCGCAGCTAAACCCTAATGCAGACATCTTCAGTCCTGTCAGAAGTCACATCTCAGATATGAATGTCAGCAATAAGGGTGATCTAGTAAGAAGGAAGCCACAGGAATTCGATGGGAAAGCACCATGGGAAGCATATAGAGCACAATTTGAGCACCTGGCAGACATGAATGGATGGACAGAGGAGCAGAAAGCAGTATATCTGGTGACGAGCTTGAAGGGACAACCACTGGAAATACTTGGACAGTTGTCAGCAGACGATAGGCACAACTATAGAGCACTGGTAGCAGCTCTAGAACTCAGGTATGGAACTCAAAATCAGTCTGAAGTCTACAGGGCTAGGTTTAGGACGAGAGTCCGTGCTAAAGGGGAGAGCTTGCAAGAGCTGGCACAGGATTTGGAAAGTATGGCACACAAGGCCTACCCAACTGCACCACCCAATCTCCTCAAGTTGTTGCTGAGAGATCATTTTGAAGATGCCTTGGACAGTCCACAACTGAAGATACAAGAAAAACAAGCACACCCCTCTATTATGCAGGATGCAATGGCCAAAGCTCTTGAATTTGAATCCTACGTTAAGTCCAGCACAGAGGTACCAAGGTTGGTACAGTCGTCAGGATTCAAGGCCAGAAAAGGGCAGCTTTCAGAGAGGTTTAAGGGACTTTGTTGGCACTGTACTAAACCTGGGTACAAGAGAGCTCAATGCTGGCAACTTCAACACA